TACTCTGTATTTTGATTGGGCTTGTAGTTGCAGGTTGCTGTGTTGTTGCCTTTGATTTGATTCCTACTCATGGTAACCCGTGTGTGTTGAGTAGAACTACTCCACAGTGTTTGCAAGGCTGTCACCTTTCAGAAGCAGATCACTTCTTCCAAGGTGCCCCTGGGTGTGTTCACACCACCAAAACTTTTGGCCAGTAGTCAGTGCTTAACCATTTGTTAAGGGACTTTAGTGTATACATTTGTCCAAATTCATTAAACTGTACCCTTAAGATCTGTGATTGTGTCATTTGCTTACAGGATAGTTCCATCTTGGCAATTGAGAGTTGGGATTCCAATGGGGACAACGTCATAGTTTCTTCAGATCAAGGGTGTCCTCCTGGAATTAATTGGTCAGTTGAAGTTGCTATAGTGATTTGGGAAGGCTAGAATGGCAGTGTGGTGTCTGTATGGGAAGGACAAAATGGAACAGACCTTTGGGGTTTATTGGGTAAGCCTTTGGGGTTTATTGGGTAAGCCGAGTGAGTTGTGGACAGTGGGGCAAGAGGGGAAAAACAAATGAGAATTCCTTAGAATTTTCTTTTCACATCATCAGGAGACTGTGGAGATAAGTATTTTCAAAGACAATTCACAGTAACATCCAAACCTTTTATTTTTAACATTGGTATACTCTTTCCCCCTTTTTCTCATGCTAGAACTCTCTTTTTATGACTTGTTAAAAAAAAAAAGTGTTTTTTTTTAACGTAAAAAAATTATTGTAGTGAAATATACATAACAAAATAATTGCCATTTCAACCATTTTTACGTGTAAAATTCAGTGACATTAATTACCTTCACCATGCTGTGCAACCATCACAATTATCCATTTCCAAATTCTTTGTATCACCCTTAATCAAGCTCAGTATTCCCACCTGCCCTAGTAACCACTACCTATGTTGTTTTCTTTTAATTTGATTCTATGATCCTAACTTCTGAGCCTTAGACATCTAGGGTCTGGGATGCTGTTCTCGGTCCATGTAGGCTGTCTGACATGTGAGCAGTGCCCACTTAGCTGATGATGAGCTGAGGTTTTTCTCAATATTTGCTTCCCTTGGGTTTTGACTGTGGATTTTCCATGTTTCCAGACTGATGGAAATGATTGAATCTTAGTCTGATAAGATTGACTGATAACAGTCAGACTCAGTGTTGGGGAAAGACTCACTCACTTCACTGTTGGATTTGTGGAGAGAGATCCTCGAGGTCCAGAGAACTCAGTTGGTCCCCCTGTTTCCAGGCCAAACAGGTGAGATTGAGGCTGCCCTGGTCCCGGGGTGCAAACCTTCCAGTTTTTGGAGCAGTCTCTACATCCTGTCATGAACTGGTGTCTGCCGTTGAGTTGTAGGGGCTGGTGAGGAAGCTGTTTATTCAGGGTTAAGGCCTTGGTATTAGAAGAGACCTGGGAGAACTAAGGAGTGGGCCAGGACTGTGGCCTTTGGTGATACCAGCGAGTCTTTCTGGCTGGCTGACCTGCCACATTCACCTCTCAGGGCTCAGGGTAATTCCCAAACAATCTCTTGGGTATTTCTGGTGTTTCTAGTGGGTCCTAGCATACCTACCTGTCAGTAAAAACTAATGTAGTTTTGGGTCTGATTACTCAGATCTAATCCTTAGTATTCCTAGGCCTTATCTAGAAAGTTGATCCCCACATCTGTGGGCTGCGTAGGGCATAGTCATTCCTGGCCAGCCAGAAGTTGGGGTAAATCCTACAGCAGGAAAAAGTTCTTACTAGTGAGCTGGAATGGCTGCTTATCTCAGCATGGAAGAATTAGCTATTAAATCTTTTCTGTAAAATAAAACACAGTATTAGTGAACCATGTAATTTTGAGTCAGACTGAACCATCCCTTCATAGTTATTTGGATGGAAAGGAAAGAGGTTAACAATTACTCTTTAATATTAAATTAGTTTAATATGAAACGTAGTTTTATCTTGTATCTGAAAAAAACAAAACAAAACAAAACAAAAAAAACAACCCAGAATGTTCTGATCTTTTTTTAAATCAGGGATAATTTACTGGTGTAAAACATATTCACTTTAAGACTCATTCCAACTCAGGTTATGACTATATGTACAATCTGTATTTGGAAGAAAGTGTCATTGTGAGACAAGGAATGTTAGGTGGGGGCTGTGTGGGGAGATAAGTGGTGGTAATCTGCTGGTGGTGAGAATGAGAAATCTTTGTTGGAGGAGTTTCTTACCCACTAGTCCAAAGGGCACTCACTGATATGGGAACTGGAGACCAGTTTGGGGCTGTAGAGATAACCACTTCTCCCTCCCCAGGACTGAGACCGTGGCGTGACTTGATTGAGGTGGGGGAAGCTAGGTGTGCACAGAGCTATGATGGCAGTGACTGCAGCTGAGAGAAAGGATAGTCTTTTCACGTAATACTACCCACCCGGCCACTCCCAGGGTGTGACCTCAGCCCTGTCAGTGGGCAGGACCCAAAGATAAGGGTAGAAAAGGAATGTAGCCCTAACTCAGATCCCAGGGGCTCTAGCTGTCTGTGAGTGGGAAGAACATCATGAGTTTAAAAAGAAACATTTACTCCCATACTAAACTTTTCAGAATGAAACATAGTGATCTAAGTACCCTAGGATGTAGTGGTATGGAACTCAGACAATTAAATGAAAAAGAAATTCAAGTGATACATGAAGTTTTACCTTTGGTAATGAAAAAATGCAAATTGAAGAATGGGATAACTATTTTTTACAAAGCTACTTGGTAAAGAATAAAACTCGAACAATTAAAACGTGGCCAAAGAATCTGAATAGACATTTCTCCCAAGAAGACAAATTTAGGATGCTTAGGATTAGATTTGACTGAGTAAAATTGCCTAATAAGCACATGAAAAGATGCTCAACATCTGCGTTAACCATCAGAGGAATACAGATCAAAACCATAATGAAGTACCACTTCACACCCACCAGAATAGTGATAATAAAAAAAGACAGTAACAAGTGTTAGTGAGGAGGTGGAGAATTTGGAACCCTTCTACACTGCTGAGGGAAATTAAAATAGTGCAGCTGCTTCAGGAAATTAAACTATTAGACATAGTTAACCACGTTGTTGTGTGCCGATGACTCCATTGTGACTCATAGTGACCCTATAGAACAGAGTAGAACTCCCCCATAGGATTTCCTAGGCTGTAATCTTTATGGGAGCAGATTGTCAAGTCATTTCTTCCACAGAGCAGTTGGAGGATTTGAACCACTGAGCGCTTAACCATTGGGCCACCAGGGCTCCCTAGAGTTAACAATATGACCCAGCAATTCCACTCCTATGTGCATACCCAAGAGAAAGGAAAACATCTGTCTACACAAAAACTGGTACACAATCTTTATAGTGACATTATTCATAATAGCCAAAAAGTGAAAACACACCAGATATCTATGATCTGATGAACTGAGGAGCAAAATGTGGCTTATCCACAAATGGCATATTATTTGGTGATAAAAAAGAAATGAAGTATTAATACATACTAAAGCCTGGATGAACTTTGAAAGTAATATGCAGTGAAAGAAACTCATCACAAAAAACCACATAGGATTCCATTTATATAAAATGTCTAGAATAGGCAAATCCATAGAGACAGAAAATAGCTTTGTGGTTGCCAGGGGCTGAGAGGATGGGAGAATGGGGAGTGACTGGTAACGGATAAGGGGTTTCTTTATGAAATGACGCAAGTATCCTAAAGTCAGAAAGTGATAATGGCTGTACAACTCTGTGAATGTGCTAAACCCCACTGAATTGCATGTTTTGAACAGGTGAATTGAAAGGAATGGCAATTATATCCCCACAGAGCTGGTTTTTTTTTTTTTTTTAAAGTAGATTTACATCCAGTAATGGCAAGGGAAGTAGAACACAGAGGGTACATTTATGTACCTTCTTTCCTGGAAGGCAGTTGGGCTGGTGCACTAGGAGGCTTAAAGAGGTTTGACCCCATAACTGCCCTGGAAATGCACCCTATAGAAAAAGCTCAAGGTTGGTAAAGATTCCTATTCACAAATGTGCATCAAATTATTTTATGTAATAGCAGATACTTGGAAATAGTCTAAATATCCAACTATAAGGAAATGATAAATTCTGAAAAAGGCAATGTTATACAATCATTAAAATCATGTTTTTGAGGAATATTTCATGATGTAGTATTAAGTAAAATGACATGATAAACTCTGTGCTGCCATGCAAAAAAGGATTACTCTAGCAGACCTGAGGCTCCTATCCTTAAGAAAAGCCCTGGCTTGCATCTGGGAACTTGGCTCTTGGAGTGTTCCACTGTTACACTAACTGACAAAGGTGGTTCACTGTGTCTAGACTGATTGTGCAAACAATGTGGTTTATGCTGAATACCTGCTTTCCTTCTAGGAGTCTGGACTTTTGGTAAGGATGCCTTCATGACTAGCCCCCCCAAAAAACCTTGAACGCTGATTAGGTAATGGACTGCCAGGACAGAGACATCACACGCATGTTGCTGCATTCTTGTTGTGGGAGAAGTGTGTGTGCTTTGTGAGCCCTCATGGGAGGGAGAGAGCATAAAGAAGCCTGCACATGGATTCCTCTGGAGTCTGCCTGTGTCTTTCCCCCTTAGGATCCAGCTATATAAGCTTCTATGTAAATCTTAACCATGAGTACATATCTATGCTGAGTCGTGTGGGGCCTTCCAGTGTATTTCTGAATGTGGAGCTGGTCTTGTGGACCCAGACACAGCCACTGATTGCATATCAAATAGAAGAGGAAGAAAAAGACCAATACACAGTGGCTGTATTGGAGTTGTGTTATTATGAATAAAGTTTATTTTCTTTTTTATACTGTTTAATATTTTGTACAATTTCTATATGACATTGCTTTTATTTTCAGAAAAGTGTAGTTTTTTATTTTTTTCAGGTTAAATATTTCTATTATATTAAATATTGCTGTCATTTTTAGAATGGCTGACCTCTGAAGGGGCTTCTCTCATTTTTCCTTAGGGTTGTAATCCCCTTGCTCAAACTGGTCGGAGTAAACTGCAGAATAAAAGGGCTGCCTTGAACCAGCAGATCCTGAAAGCTATTCGGATGAGAACTGGAGCGGAAAACCTTCTGAAGTAGGTGTCTTCTGGCTGTCCTGCCTCACCTGGCAAGCCTAGCTTCTCCTGAGGCAAATCTATTTACTCTCTAAACTCCCAGGCCTGCCCAGCTTCCTCCGTGGCTCTCAGTTTTAGCTTTGGATTTTCTCCCCACTTCTGGCATCTGGAGCAGGACCTTTTTTTTGCGTAGAGTTTGGTTATATTAAAAAGAAGAATTTTACCCAGGCTGCTTATGTGTTTGTTGGGTGGTGGTGTGGGTGACATGTGGAGCACCTGACCTCGATTGAGTCAGCCATAGTGACTAGAAGTCCAATTACTGTCTTCATGTTTGTTTTCCTGTTTTTTTGTGCGGCTGGTCTGTTTTCTCCCTTCCCTTTGGTAAATGTTGGCTGAATGTATAAAGAAAAGGAAGGCAGAGAGGAGAGGATAGGGCCTTTTCATGCCATGTCCACTTTTCTGATGAGAGGGGTGCAGTCCAGCTCTGTGATCTTGGGCACTCACTATTGTACTCTAGTCATATAAGCATAGACCTAGGTGAAGTCTTACTCATGCTGGAAGCAATTGTAAGCCCCCTCCTCACCACTCACCCCCCTGTAAAAGACAATGTTGCCCAGTGTTCTGGTTACCTAGTGCTGCTCTGACAAGAATATACCACCAATGCGATGGCCTTAACAAACAGGAGTTTATTCTTACAATTTGGAGGCTTTAAGTCCAAGTTCAAAGTGCCAGGCTCTAGGGGCTGGGTGAAAACCCCTCAACCTTGGGCTTTAGCTCTGCTTCCTGCTCCCGGCCCATTGAAGCTAGAGGCTTCTCTTCACTCAGACAGCTACTGGCTGCTGAGGCTGATAAGCCCAAGGTTGACAAGTAAAAAGGCACAGTCCTGATGTTACCAAACCACACAGCAGGCCATTAATTCAAGTCCATTGAAAGTCCCAAGGTCAGCAGAGCATGGCAGGCTGCTGAACAATGACACGGCTTAACCCAGGGTCCAAGTGTGCCATAAGCTAAAAATCATTCCCCAAGGTTTCTTATATACAGGAAGCAGACCACATCCCTAAGGCAGCTACATAGCTGCTCACAGTAGAGTCCACCATGGAGCTGATTACCAGTCTCATCATGTGGAATGTTACATCCAGCCACCCAGCCACTCAACCAGGCCCAGCCAAGTTGACACACAGACTTAACCACCACAATTCCACCCCTTGTCAACTTGGCACCTGTACAGATCTTCAATGGGTGACATCTGTACAGATCTTTCACTGGGTGACTCCAGTCCCCTAGTTCCTGAGTGGTGACCTCACCTCCTTGGCCTGGTGGGCCCCGTTCCTCTTCCTTTTGGGCATGGCAGCCCTGCCCCCTCACATTTGGGCAGCAGCTTGACTCTATCCCATTAGCTCACATGAATGAGCAGCCCCACACTCCAGAACCAAGTTGGTGAAGGTCTGGCTTTTTGGAACCTAGGGGACTGTGGTGTTTCCACCTCCAAAGGCCATGGCCCTAGCCCTGAGGCTGAGGCAGCTCTGTTTCCCATTTCCTTGGTCTCTCTGCTTCTGCTAATTAATGCCGAAGTCAACCCACTGCGCCGGAAATCTTCCTGCCCAAAAAACACTCAGCTTTCTTGCTCTGAGGGCCGGCCAACCTGCTACTCCATTTCATGCCACTCTCTTCTACCAATTAATGCCTGAAGGCAACCCAGTCCACCAGGAAGCCGCCTACGCAAAGGCATCCAGATTGCTCCTCCGTGGGCTGGTAAGGCTGTTACTGTCTCATGCTGGTCTCTGGGCTCTGCTCCTGCTATTTCTCATATCACATGCTGGGGTCTCTCTGCCAGGGTCTTGGATCAAGGAAAAACTCCACTACTGTTTCCACATTTTAGGTATCTGTCAGAGCAGCACCCCACTCCCGGTACCATATTCTGTTCTGGTTACCTAGTGTTGCTCTGACAAGAATATACCACACATGGGATGGCCTTAACAAACGGGGGTTTAAATTTGGAGGCTTTAAGTCTGAGTTCAAAGTGCCAGGCTCTAGGGGCTGGGTCAAAACCCCTCAACCTTGGGCTTCAGCTCTGCTTCCCGCTCCTGGCCCACTGAAGCTAGAGGCTTTTCTTCACTCAGACAGCTGCTGGCTGCTACGGCTGACAAACCCAAGATTGACAAGTAAAAAGGCACAGTCCTAATGTTACCAAACTACACAGCAGGCCATTCATTCAAGTCCACTGAAAGTCCTAAGGTTGGCAGAGCATGGCAGGCTGCTGAGCAACAACATGGCTACATGCAGGGTTCAGGTGTGCCATAAGCTAGAGACCATTCCCCAAGGCTTCTCCTTATACACAGGAAGCAGACCACATCCCTAAGGCAGCTACTCAGCTGCTCACAGTAGATTCCACTGTGGAGTTGATTACCAGTCTCATCATGGGGAATACTACATCCAGCTGCTCAGCCACTCAACCAGGCCCAGCCAAGTTGACACACAGACTTAACCACCATACCCAGTTTCCCCTCATTTATAAGTAGTGCGGTTTCTTCTTCCTTCAGAGTTCTGGGGGTCATTCTTGTCATCTCCTTGCTGCCTTTTGTGTAGTTGAAATAGGCACCATGCCTGCTGCCTGGGTGAGTGAGACAGATGCCTCTTGGGGCCTTGGGAAGAGATGTTGAGCTCTTGCTAGAAGCTGGAACTGTTTGTCTCTTGGCAAGAAAGAGGCCCTAGACTTCCTGCTTGCAGATGTGATTCCCTTCCAGGTTCCCTGGGGATTCCAGATGTTGTGTGTGTGTTGTGTGTGTGTGTGTGTGTGTGTGAGAAATGCTCTGCAGGAAGTTGATGATAGGTGTTCCCAGTGCATTAGCCTCACTGTTGGAAGCCTTAGGGAGCCAAGAGACTGCTTACCAGGTCATTGGGAAAAACAGATGCACCAAACTGGGTATTTGTGAAAGAGCCACGAGGTTTCTGCACTCTCAGACCCTGGTGGTCCTGGACTTGCACTAATGGCTATACCTATAAGTGGACCACCCACAAGAACTTAATAGAGACAGGTTAGGAGGAGGATTTCTGACTGAACTTTGGGTAAATTCATTTCTGAGTACATCTCTGTCTGCTTCTTAGGGATTGTCTCAAATGGGAGGTATCAAATGGGAAAGAGAAAGGTACAGTATAGCATATTCTATGTGTGTGTTTAAAGGATTTGGACATATGCTTTTGTCAGTGCACAAAATTTTTCCCAAAGGGACAAAGAAAGCTGTTAGTAAAGACAGCTCCTGGGAACAAGAGAAGGGATGAGGGTTTAGGTGACTCTTACTTTTTATTTTACTCCCTTCAGTGTCTAAATGTCTTTTACCTAGTGTATCACTTACTTTCATTCATTCCTTTTGTGAAATATGGAAAAAAAAAAAAAAAAGAGAGAGAGAATAGTGTAACAAAGCCTCCTAAACCTGCCAGTCAATCCACGACATCTGTACTACAGCTGTCTTGGTGACTTTAGAATGGCAGAAGATACATGGCCCTGGGTGAGAAAATGTCTGGGAACCTCCAGCTACTTTTGTAACTAGGTATAAAGGAGAATGTTACTGGAGGAGACGGAAAATATTGTAACATTTATCTGAAGGTGTCCATGTCTCAAGACAAGTCTGGACTTGGGCATCATCAATTCGCCACAGCACAGTAGACGTTGGGCAGCCAGTATCATTTAGAGGAGATGCTCCTGTTTTGGGGTACCTGCCGTAGGATGGGTTGTGGAGCTGGGGAGGCTACAAAGTGAATCCTTCCAGTTTTTATTTTGTGGCTGGCGGTTCCAGTTGACACTTTGTCAGCTCATCTCTGTGGCTGAAGGACAGGTGGGCAGCCCTGATGTTATGGCCTCCCTGCAAATAGGCTACAGTTGATTTGCTTGTTCATTCCCCCAACAAATGGATTTATGGAATACCTTCTAAGTGGCAGGCAGTATTTGAGGTTTAGGGATAATAAGGCTGCAGAAAATTCAGGCACATTTTTTTCAAACTCATCAAATTTCAGGATGCTTAAACTCTTGTGGGGATCTCCTCAATGCACAAGCAAACAGTTCAGATCATGTCAGAAAGTGTGGTTTTCTAGGGTGACAATTGAAGAGGGAAATGGGATAGTGATTGAATCAAGGTAGCACAACTTTAAAAGGGGAGTGGTCAGGGAGGCCTCTCTGAGAAGGGGACTGGAGTTTCTGAGGCAGGAACTGGGGCAGTTTTGTCTTGCTCTGTTACTGACACCAGCAAATAACCTTTCTTAAGCTCAACCACCAATGAGCTCAAGCTCATTGTCAAGTTGGTGGTTGCTGTGCTGGGAGGGATGGGGGTGGGGTAGGGTTGTTAATGATTCCTGCAATAACCTAAAAGTTCAAAGTATCTGTCTCTGGAGAATGTTGTCAGAGGAAACCCTAAAGTATTTATTAATCTGACTCAACCAGTACCAGTGCTTTCCCAAAAACAAATAGGGCATTGTGCCAAGCCGATTTCCAGCCTCATAGGTGTCCCTGGGAGCTGATTAGGTGGCTGTCCCTGTGGGCAAGGGTTTGTTTTAGTTATAACCGGGGCCCCACTGTCCTGTTTGTCTGTGTGCATGTTCCTGGATGTCCCACTGCAGCCCCCAGGTGAAAGTAGAGTGGTTGGAATGGTGGGGAGGACTGAGGCAGGAGGCATTTGGGAAAATGTCCTGGAAAATGCTGGCGTGGAAGCAAGGTCCTAGTCTTTACCTGCCTTGGCAAGGGGTCCTCACAGCTGGGCAGGCCCTAAAAAGAACGAAATTTTTTACCCCTCAGAGGCTTCTCCTTCTCTGATCCATATCACCCCGGAGTCCATGAACCTGCTGGAGTTTGGTTAGGAAAATATCAGATACTTTAAATGGGCTCTTTCAGGCTAAGCTGGCATAGTATTCTCTTTCTTCTCCCAACTTCCTTCCCTCCCTTGAGAAAAACTGGAGTGGACAAGTGATGACATTTTTCTGAAACTGAGATGCTCTTTGTGAATTTTATAACAATCTGCCCCATAGTTCAC